GCTTGGTCGGATTCGAGTGGAGTGCTCCAGTACGATCGACAGTCCTGTATGCAACCCCGCCATTTGTGGCTCATAGTCATATGGTTGATCTGCGTCCGTCTCTGACTCGAGGAGGACGGACGCCAAGTGGCGTACCGACAGTTGGAGCGTCTGAAGTTCGTACCGGCGAGAAATAGGCGGTGGTCGGAACAGAGAGCCAACAGCCGTTCACCGTTTTCCGAGCGACAGGAATCTAGTCCTGAAGGACCTCTCAGGTACTCCGCCCTCGAAGTCAGCCGACCTACTCTAGCATTCATATCTCCTGCTAAAATCACGATATCAACCCGATTCTCTTTACGCAAGAGGTCGTGTAGATCATGATAAAATCCTTCTTTGACTGCATCTGGGCTGCAGTCCGTTGGGGCGTACGCCGATACGACAAAAAAGTTTCGTCTATCTAGGCGACAGCTGCTTACTTTACACGAACTCCTGAGTCTCACTGCGCACAACCTACTGTCGACTGGGATCCAGTCCAGGAGCGTGACTTCAGCTGTCTCACAGAGCCACACCAACGCCAGGAAGACCAGAAGCCGCAGTCTCAGGGTTCCCAGAGAGGCGTAAGTGAAACTTCAGTGATGAGTTTGATGGGGACGCCAATTGGATAATGGAGATGGAGTCTTGAATGCGATACAATACAAAACAATACAATACAATGGATACAATACACATCGACGGCTAGGGTCTAGAGCGTGCGAGCTAAACAGGCCCGTTGTCCTATACGCATCAGATTGTGGCTAGTTTGTATGGGCATCGAGGACGAGGAAGGGCTTCAGCTAATGGAGGATTCGGTGAGACTGGGACAGAAGTCGAGGTAGGACAAGAGAGAACAGCGGCAGAATTTCCATCTCAGGCGCTACTTTTAGTACGAGTAACCGAGGTGTGTGTGTGTGTGGGCTGAGGAGACATGAATTTGTGTGCGGTGTGGAATTTTTTTCACTGAGTAAAGAAACTTGTGACTAGAGAGACGTAGGATTCGAGAAACTCACCATTATATGCGTTGTGGGCTATTGTACTTCTCGGTCGACCTGTGCAGAGTAGGCCTTGTTCGAGGGTTCACTCTAGCGTTTGCAGAACCAAGCAACGTTCCAGATGAGCCGGTGGCCAGTATTTGGTTCATTCGCCTCTTCTGGAAAATCTTACCGAACAATAGATTTCGAAAAGTGGCAATGGTCATATTAAGTGGTGGGTCACTCACCACGTCACAACGCCGTCTACAGATATGTGTGGTGTTTCGTGTGGGGAACCCTTACCAGGAGGTAAACCCACCACATCCTCGAGCGCTGCCGCTGATCGTCCGCGACCGCTTATTCTGGGGGCCTAAGCCCACATTATTCACGGTTAGCCGTGAGATGACGGCCGTTCTTCAATCCGCGACCTGGGGACGCGCTCTGTAGCATTCAGCTCTGCTCTTCCGAGATTTATCGTCCAACGAAATTATACCTTCGGCAACTTATTTAGTGGTTTGAATCAAAAAAGGTACATTAAGCATACCGGACACAGGAAGTCAGATGGGAAATGTTGGGTGTGAACGCCAGACTCGAGCCCAAAATTCACTCACTTGAACCAACTGTCACAACGTTTTTAACCAAAGAAAAATGTTTATCTAGCCAAATATTAACTTTCATTTCCGAAAAAGAATCGATTTCCGCTAACCACAATGGTAATCAACTTAGTCAGCGGTGACTGTGGTACTGTCTGTTTCACATCAACAGTGGGGCTCATGCATCTGTTCACCTTTTGCACTTGTTGAGTTCACTCATATTTCGCATGCTTATCTGAATATTGTTCGTGTGTTTTCGTTTACTCTCAATCCATCAATCGACCAGATTAGTGGTAATCGAATTAATGTAATCGAAACGCGAACCACGTCGATGAATGTTTCATGGTAATTTAAGCGGACGTGGTAGAACTTGTAGTTGGTTTGCTGTTTCAGTTTTCACAAACACTAACTATACACTTCAGTGCGTCGGTTTTGGTTGCTGTCTTTTGGCCGCCCATTTGGATACGACAGTAGAATCAAGATTGGAATGTTAAGAGTGGATTGAAGGGGAGGATAGAGGAGAATTCGTATAGACTGAGGTTGCAAGGGTAATGATTAGATGCATGCGCTCGACTGTTTGCGAACTCAGCTGTATCGCTTAGTGTCTCTAACTTCCGGTGACCATAATCTCGGGATTCCCATCCAGGGAGCCTAGCAGGACTTGCGTGATCCAGTTTCCTGGTCGGGATTTTCATACCCCCATATCAGGTCTTCGTTTGACCGCCCTTGACACTTTCCACTCGCTACTTGTCTTGGCTAACATCACTCGCCGTGGCACCTTATCCGTTGGCATGCGTAACACATGCCCCAATCAACGTAATCTACGGAGGTCAACTACTTAATCTAGTGGACGAGCACGATTACCTAAAACTCTACGCCTAACCTCAACATTGCTTGTCCGTTACCCCATCAGACTGGTGCAATGCGACGTAGACAGCGGTGTTCGAACACCGCTGTCTACGTCGCATTGCACCAGTCTGATGGGGTAACGGACAAGCAATGTTGAGGTTAGGCGTAGAGTTTTAGGTANTACCTAAAACTCTACGCCTAACCTCAACATTGCTTGTCCGTTACCCCATCAGACTGGTGCAATGCGACGTAGACAGCGGTGTTCGAACACCAACAATTTATTTTTATCCTGTTCCCGAAGTGACGAAGTCTCTGTATCGTACAGCAGCACCGCCCGAACTGATGCAGTATATCCTCGACTCTTCACCAACAGCTGGGTGTCGTGACGGCGCCACAGATGTCTCAATTTTGGAGATGTCAATCAAGATTTCGGTATGCGTGCCGAAAATTGATCTGTGAAGCGTCCGCCGGGTGAGATATAGCTACCCAAATAGCAAACTTTTTCTACTTCCTGTACTACTTCCCCAGTCAGGGTTAGGTTGGGGACTGGACACACCCAATCTTGTAGCAACATTTTACACTTTGAAGGTGCAAACGCATATCAGATATGGATACACTAGCACCCAAACTATCCATAAAGGCTTGCAACTTACCTGGATCTTCACTTGGCAGCACAATTTCGTCTGTCTACTTCAGATCAGATAGTCTACTACCTGGGAGCTAATCGATGCCACTATCCTCATACGAGGATAGGGCTGTTTCCAGAATTAAATCTATGACAAAGTTAAATGGAAACGGGGAGAGTTCGCTATCCTGGCGAACACCACTTTCTGTAGTGAACTCGGGTGAAAAGTGTCGTAAGCTCGTACTCGGCTTCAGCTGCTAGTATTAAGGAGTATCGGAGTAAACCTCTCGGGCACGCCCTCCAGGGCGAGGCAGCGTCAGAGTTTGGAGCGGTTGACTGCCTCGAAAGCCGATTTTGAAAAGAGAAAGACAGAATTCATGGGTCTACGAAAGGAGTGTCTGTGTTCTAAAATATGGCGAAGAGTGAACATGTGGTCGATATAACTTCGGCCGGGTCTCAAATCAGCCCGACTCTCACGCTTGCATTGCTCGCCGCCTGTGGCAGACAATCGACGGAATATAACACCAACGAGAAGCTTAGAGACAATGTTGATTTAACTGAGGATCGTC